CCAAGTGTTCCCAGGGCAAGCGGTGACCAGTCAGTGGAGTAATTTGGGGTGTTGTTCTGGGTTAGGTGGCTTCCAAACTATTTTCTTGCCCTCCTAGAGAATCTATAAGCTCCCGGTGCTCTTTAGAAAATTTATTTTAAGGCAGAGTTGCATTCTGTTGTCACAGCTGAGATTACTGGCTGATATAATATGTGAAGTGTCTGGTACAATAAATGTTAGTTTTCTCTTCTCTGCAGGTCTACATTCTGCAACAGATCTTTAAGTGTTGTTTCACATCTATGCCACTAACTAAGAACCACACATTTTGCTAGGCCATTACATTAGATCCTGGGAGGTCTCAAGGTGAGTTCTCTTAATAGAGAACAAAGATGTATCATTATGCGATTTTCAAACTTGAAACTCTTACTGGAAAGCAAACAACACTCTTTCTTCTTTGATGTATCAAAGGATAAAGAGGAGTGAGGACTTTCAAGTCTTCACAGACCACAGCATCAGACTCTTCCTGGGATCTATTCCCACCTCCCTCACCCACGAGCCACACCAAAGAAGAAAATCCACCTTCTCCCCAGCTGCCTAACTCACTCAATGCGGGGGTGAGGGTGGGAGGTCCCGTTGTCTTTGGCAATGTATCACTCACTTAACATGTCCCTTAATTCTTCCTCCAAGCCCAGAGACAACTGTTTTTAAAAGAATGATTCCACAAAGTCCTCTATTACACTTTTATTGTTTGTGTAATTCATTTTTGTTTGTTACAAATATGTTGCAAACTAGAGATTCACAGAGTTTAATGCACTTGCCCAGTGGGTCACCTGCCTCTTAATTCCGTGGTTTTCACTACCTTGCGCTACTTGCATTCTGATCAGAGAATAAGAATGGCAACATGTACCTATGGAATCAAGATCAAGGATAAACGCCCCGTGAGGGAGTAGTTCAAAGCCTGCTGTGCTTTATGTGTGTGTATGAGGCCCAGCTAACCACTGCCTCTCAAGGCAGCACCCAGCTGCTGAGTTGTTGATGGATTATTTAAAAAATGTATTACAATGATGACTACTAGTAGTGTAAGTAAATTAATTGCTTCATTACTTTTTTACAAACTGGAGATTGTCTAGGCTAACACTTTGTTTGTAAAATGTCTTTTGAAGTTAGCACTGTAAGTGTACTTTAACATTTTACTTTACACAATTTTCATTTCTCATACATAAAAAGGATCCAGTGCATATAACTATTTGCCTTTTAAAAACTCACAAAAACAGAGTTCTTCTGTGCAGCATGGAAACTTCCTGAGAAATGTCAGTTACAGACTTAGGAATTATTTTAAGGAGGAATGGGACACCAAGAAGTTAGTTGATGCTGCTGCTTTGTGTCCTTTGCATCAAGAGTGTGCAGACATGGGTTTAGCTGGTTTCAAACAAGAGCTAAGAAAGGCACAAAAGCTGCCAAGACAAAGCAAAAGAAACAATGTGTTATGCCAAAATATTTGATGGCATTGTCTGCCAAAGAGATACGGATACAAAACTAAACAGGTCGACACAAACTGTGACTGAGGGCTACAGAAAGACCCACTGAATGCTGTATATATTGTGGATTGAGAGACACTGTTTTTGTAACAGAAAAGCATATATACAGTCATGTGCCACATGACAGATTTTGATCAAGATAGACTGCATATATGACAGTGGTCGTATCATAAGATTATAATATCGTATTTTTACTGTACCTTTTGTACCTTAAGATATGTGTAGATACAAAAATACCATTGTGTTATAGTTGCCTACAGTATTCAGTACAGTAACATGCTATATAGGTTCATAGCCTAGGAGGAATAGTCTATACCATATAGCCTAGGTGTGTAGTAGACTACATCATCTAGCTTTGTATAAGTACACTCTGTGATGTTCACCCAATGATGAAATTGCCTAACGATGCATTTCTCAGAATGTATCCCCATCACTAAGTGATGTATGACTGTCTACATATATCCACACATACATATATGCACTTACATATGTGTATGTGTGTGTCCTTTCAAGTATTCAGCCTAAAATCTCAGAACTTTATTTGAAAGTGTGCTTCCAACATTATAAGGTCAAGAGCCATTACAACCAGGAAAATCGTGAGCCTTAGGAAGTTAGAAAGAGGGCATTAGGGCCTAGGTCATTCTCACAGCCTTTGGGTAAGTACGGTGGTGGGTGAAAGTTGGGATGGTAAGAAAATTTTGTAGAGCAAACAACAACAGAGTGGGAAAAAGGGGAGTAGCAGATTTATGAGTAAAACATGAGATTTATGAGTAATCAATAATCCAGAAGAGAAGTCACTTATAAGAAAAGGAATATGGCAGGGTGTCAGAAATTTATATATGTAAATCAGAAATTCCTTAGGGCTAGAAATAGCTGCACAGTCAATGGAAAAGATACCCAAAGTTGGAACTACAGAGAGAAAGGAGGCAGGGATGGGGCATCATGGTAATGAAAACATACAAGGACCCCAGCCCCTGACCCCTCTATGGCTCCCTGGGGCCACTACAACATGGTATGAAAACCTTGGGACCACCCTGTCCTAAGGTCTCCACTGGCTCTGAACTTGAACACTCAAATGAGTCTTCTTGGGAGAAGTCTCTCAAACTGATTTCTAATATATCCATTTCAAGTTTGGAAGGGGACGTGAAGAACAAACTTTTCCGGCACAGGCAGCCACTTCAAGGGGTATCCTGGTGAGCAAGGACATTAGTGAATCCAGAAATCAATGACTGAGCTTGACCATAAGGTGAAAGAGTCTTGAGAGGAAAACAACCAGGACACCCAGTAGATTGCAGTGACCTGTTTCTGAAGACATTCTGCAGATGGAGCTAATTGAGGCAAGTCTGAATCTCAATTAGAACTAATCCCAAACACCCATCCTCATGTCCAGCCAAGAGTAAATTCCCATGAAGACATGCCTAAGTGAGGAGGGGGCTGGTGAAGAATCCTGGGACTGATCGCAGTGGCTATGGCTGCAGAGCTTCTGCAGGAAACTGGATCATCAACCACGGAAGGCAGAAAGGAACCAACGTTGGCCGAGTGCTTGCTTACATACAAAGCTCTGCGCTAGATTCAATTTTTCTTGCCTTCTTCAGTACTCAGCACATTTTAATGGGGGTAAGTTTATAATCTTTATTTGGATGGAAAAAAAGCTGAAGTTCAGAAAGTTTAGGTATTTTCTTCAAGATCACAGAGTGATGCCAAAATATGAATCCAGAAATGCCTGACTCTGAATTTATGCCATTTTCAACAAATTAAGCAAATTCCCTGAAGAAGCCTCAAGTTAGTTTATTAATTCTTTATTCAACACATATGTTTTTTAAAAATTAAACAATGTCCGGATGTTGAAAATTAAGCAACACATTTCAAAATAACAATGAAAATTTAAAATATTTTTAACTGAATTATAATGAAAAGACACATATCAAAACTCAGGAGCTGCAGCTAAAGCAGGGCTCAGAGGAAAATTTATAGTACTAAAATGTATGTATAAAAAAAGAAAACAGCCTAAAAAATCAACGATCTAAACTTTCATCTTGAGAAGTTAAGTAAATACATCAAAAGAAATTAGAAAGAATTTCTATTTCTATAATAGTAATAAAGAGAAGAGCAAAAACCAATTAAATAGAAAGAACAAATCTTCAACACCAAAGGTTAGTTCTTTGAAAAAGTAATAAAAGTGGCCTGGTGTGGTGGCTCATGCCTATAATCCTAGCATTCTGGGAGGCTGAGGAGGGAGGATCGCTTGAGGTCAGGAGTTCGAGACCAGCCTGAGCAAGAGCAAGACCCTGTCTCTACTAAAAATAGAAAAATTAGCTGGGTGGCTAAACATAGAAAAAAAAATTAGCTGGGTGCAGTGGCATATGCCCATAGTCCCAGCTACTTGGGAAGCTGAGGCAGCAGGATTGCTTGAGCCCAGGAGTTTGAGGTTGCCGTGAGCTAGGCTGACGCCATGGCACTCTAGCCCAGGTGACAGTGAGACTGTCTCAAAGAAAAAAAAGAAGAAAAAAGTAATAAAATTGATCAACCCCAAACCGGAATAATCTAAGAAAAAAAAGGAGAAAACATAAATTGTCAATATCAGGAACAAATACATTTTAACTGCATGTTACATATATAAGACACTATATAATGAGAAGGAGAGAAAAGAGGAGGAGGAGAAAAACAGTGCATCTGTTTTGAAGCCATCCAGAAAAGTCACATTCCAGGTTCCATTGTATTCAAGTTAATCCAACATGTATTTGTTGGAAGAGAACATAAGCTACTGTCAGATTGGTATTATAGGCCTGGAGAGAGCACATGTACTTTGGAGCTGGACAGAGCTGAGTTGAAATCGAGCCTCTACCTTGATACTAAATGTATGACTTCTAGGCAAATTATATAACCCCTCTGAGCTCCCATTTTATTGTATAAAAAATGGAAGATAATAATACCAACCTCACAGTACTGTTGAAAAGGTTAGAGGTATAGCACCAAGTACATGAGTAACTTATATCCTATGGAATACTTTTCCCTGACATGTCCCATGGCCATGGAGTTTGCAATGTGACTATCTGTATAGGAAGGGTACAAAAATACATCATGAGACAAAGTCATTCATTTAGAAATGTAATGTTTTCTGAAAAGCCTGGGCATTTGCATTTTTTTTACTTGCCTGTTCTAACATGAGAGGGTCTGTGTGGTCATTTTTCAATAGAAAGGATATTACCAGCATAAAAACAACATTAAAAGTCACATGAAAATTAAAATGAAATGACATGAAATTTTCATTCTAATTTTATACAATAATTTTTTCTTAAATATTAGCAGATCACAATAAAAGCTATGCTGATAGCATAAGTTATTTTAAGGCTTTGTAGGAAAAGGATTCCATCTCTAGTGCTGACAGTATGACAGAGGGCCCTCCCGAATCTTCGGCTCCCCACCAGTGAGTCTGCTGAGTCGCGCGTGTTGACGGATACTGCAAGGGGTCAAGAAGCGGAAACAACCATGACAGTTGGCTCGGATCATAGAGCTGCAAGGTGAACACTCAGGATTCGTCACATCCTTAATGAATGGGGCAGGCCTGTAACAAGAAAACGAAAAAGGAGATGAAAAGGCCATATGATACACTTGTGGTTCAATTCACTAATGAAAGCAATGGAATTATGCACGGACCACTTAGCATCGACGTAAACACTTCTCCTCAGGGACGACACGGAGAAAGACCTAGTCCAGGAGGGAATGACTTGAAGTGGGGCCCAATTTAGTTTCATTTTTCTTCTAAAGCCATAGAAATAAATACTGAGAGGGGTTTTTGATGGTAACATGTGGAGGTGAGAACAAATGTCTGGCTCTAACACGTCACAGATACGTGCTATCAGTGTCAGCTGATGGTCAAAAAACACCAGAAGCAGCAACCAAGACCAGGCACCCCCAGAGCTTGTGCAGATAATCTGCCTTTCTCTCTTCAGAAGCTTCCTGAGGGAAGGTTGGACCAAAGGGTCAGAGGTAGTACAGGGGTCATAGACGCTCTGGGAGAAGGCTAGAGGCCTCAGCAAGAGGACTACACTTCCTTTGCACAGAACAAACCTTAGATAAGTATCTAACAGGTGACTGACTATTATTTTGATAAAAATGAGATAACAAAGCAACAGGATCCAGCGGAGTGGCTGGCACATGTTGGGGTGGGGGTGGCAGGGAGAGTTGTTCATTAAACTGCGGCTAAATCTGGTCTTGCTAAATGTGAGTCGAGCAAGAGAGAGACCCTCAGAACAAGCTGCCAGCACCCCTGGGCTCTGGAGGGGAGCGATGTCAGATGACCCTTGTGAGGGGTCATCTCAGGCTCATCTCTAGCCAACTGTCATGACCAGCAGGTGCAGCGGCTCTAAGTACAGGATCACACGATCCTCACCAATATGGTAACCTGGGGTCCCCCACATGAATATGTTCTAGGGAAGAAAAAGATCTTCTCCTTTAAGGAAATACCACTATAAAAAAGGAATCTTTCTAAGACTGTTTAAGATTTTTGAAGCTACCATTGCTTTATATTAAATGAGGAGAATATGAATATGTTTCTTAATGATAATTTCTAATTGGAGATTCAGTTTTGGAAAAGAAGCAGCAATTATGCTGTTAAGATGATATCTCTCCATATATATGTAAACATTCGTATCCAATGTTCCAATAAAATGGACACAGCTTGCATATGTTGGATAACATTTTGAAGTATAGAGACAGAGTGTATTTTGAAGCAACGGGGAATTAAAGCACACTTCAGAGGTTTTTTTCCATGCCAATAGGAGGCACTAACCTGCCAAAACATGCTGACCATTTGCTATTTTTATGGTAATCCAAACAAGTATTGTTACCTTCTGTTCCTTTCACTGGTTAAAACATATGCTAGGAAATTCTGTATACATTTTATCAGGCCTGTGAGTGGGTATATGAAAAAAAAGGAAAAGTCTTGAGGGACATACATGTTAATAGCATTTGTCTCTGAGTAGTGGGATTTATTGAGAGGGTAACATTAGAATCATTAGGAAGCCTAAGCCATATAAATGTAATTACACTTCTGTTTGCTTATTAAATAATCACGCCAAAACAGACAGAAGTTTGCTAAGATCAGAAGGTATGTTTGGAATGGAGAGACTTAAACTAGAGTCTATGTCTATATTCATGACATTCACTTTGGGCTCCCCTAGAGAAAAATAGCTATCCTTCAAAATCATGCAGCTCTTAGATACATCACGGAGCCCTGTGAGTGCAGTAATTCAGAGAGTCATATTGAATATGGTTGGAGAAAATAAACAGTGATTTCAAATTTGATCCCCAAGTTTAAGGTCACATGATCTGATGCTGTGAATGACAAGTGTTGGCTCATAAGTGACCTGCTTTCCCCCTGGGCCACTGTCTGTACAAGTCCAAATGGAAGCTATGTCTGTATATTCTTTCCAGACGGAGAATGAATGAGCTCACCTGGAGCCTGGAGTAGGCACAACTGAGAGTAGTTGATGGGATTTAATATAAAGAACTTCTGACTATTAATGAGAAAAAGGTTAGTGTTTAATATGAGGGAAAAGATAAAAGAGTGTTGCAGATAAGACCATCTTCATTCCCCAATCTTCTCCTAGGTTTCTAGTATTCTATTTTCTCCACGCAAAATATCTTTAATAATTTAGACTGGTCAGATGTCTGCAAGGTTTCTTTCATGGTTGATCCTTCGTTCTGTTTTCCCATCTAACTGCTGCAGAATGCTTATGTGATTTTCTGGCAGTTTCCAGATAAAAGCCAGCTGAGCGACAGGGAATTCAGGTCATTTGGGGAATGAGAGTCATTGGCGAGAGTCCCTTGTGTCTATCCTCCCGCCTTTGGTTGGTGGGAGAGAGTGGTGACACGAAGGAGGCAGAAGAAATATTCTAGCAATCTGGCTTCTGCATTCTTTGAAAAGCTTTTCCTTTCCGCATCAGTCTTGTTCTAAGTTATCACACATGGGAGACTCTCCACAGATGCTTCTAGAAACAAGTCCCTACCTACATCATTGGCCATAACTGCTTAAAAATGAGTGGAGGTTGGCGGTCTCAGTTTTGAAAATATAATTACAGGTGACATAAAAATATATATACTTATCTTTAATTTTAAACTTTTCTCCAATAAACATGGATTACTAATAAATTTTTTTAAAAGATTTTATACTTTTTTAATCTAGAAAAGATAAATCTTGGTAGACTACCATATGGCATCTTACCAAGTTAGGCATCTACACCCAGATTTAACGAAGGAAACTTCACATGCAAAACTGTGCCAACTGACAAGGATTTTACAGCTGGGATAAAGGTATTAGCAAAAGACAATTCTTTCTGCTCCCTTGAAACCTTGCAGTCGCATAAGCCCTAGACTGAGCCACTCACACTGGGAGCCAGGAAATACGCCCTCAAAGTCTGGGTCAGCTTCAGAGGCAAGTCCTCCTTGAGGCCAGTAGGGAAGGAATAGGAAGATGGGGGAAAAGCGGCCAAGTGAAGGCCACTGGCCAGGAAAATCTTCTCGGCTAGGCTGGTGAGGAGAGACAGAGATCACCATAGGTCACCATCTGAGATCACCATCAAGGCCCAGCAGAGATTCACGCAGCCTTCCCAGCTCAGAGGAAACCAAGGAAGAAGGAAATACCTACAGATGGCAAGGCAGCCTTTTTTTCCTCAAGAAAGAAATCAATTACCTGTATTATGCTGGCACCTAAATGCAATTTTCCTTTGGCTTGTAATCGATTTCAGCTTATTTATGGAGGAAGTCATGCATGAGTCACTGGGGAAGAAGGAAGAAAGTGTTAAAATTACAAGCTCTCACAAACATTTCTTGAGTCTCTTAGTTTCTTTTTCGTAGCAGGCCCTGGGCAAGTCCCTGTCATAAAGAGGTGAAGCAGATGTCCAACCTCTAAGAGCTCCCAGGTGAGCAGAGGAGCTGCAGTGGGAAGCAGTTAGACACCCATTATAGAGATAAAATTAAGAGGTCGTTGGGATGGACTAAATGTAGCAAAAGGCCCCATTCATTCCCTGACCCAGTTTGTTCCCAGTGCATTCTTGTGGTTGTGTGTCTTTTGTGGACTGATTCATAAAACAGCCTTTTGGTACAAAGTAGTGAGACTTACCTGGGAACTCCTCCGACATCATGTATCACCCAGGCATGTAGTGCCTGAACCTTTTCTGGATGCAAATTAATGATTTCCACACTTCCAAAAGTGCTAAAATAGAAGAGACAAAGAACATTATCAACCCCAAGCTAAAGCATCCATACCCCCTGTTAAAAACCAGTAGGCAGGACGCTACTGGTTAGAACCTACTCTTTGAAACTGACTCACGATTTGCATTATAAACACTTTCTCATTCAATGTGACCCTCAATTATCAAGATTCTCGAAATAAGATTCTTAATTTATGCATTGATGTTGATTCATTAAATACTTGCTATTCAAAGAGTAGTCCTTAGGCCAACATAATGAGCAACACCTGGGATCTAGTTAGAGTTGCAGAATCTCACCCACCACCACCTGCTGAACTAATCTGCAGTTGAACAATCCCCAGGTGAGTCACATGCCCAGTGAAGTTTGAGAAGCACTGCTTTGAAAGAACCCTGGTGGCCTGTCCCAATCACATTCCTAAACTTTTCCCTGTCAGTCTCTGACAGCTGCCACTCCTATTGCAAATAGTTGGAGCCCTAACATCAGATTATAAAATTCTGGGATGTTAATGCATTCACCCAAAATGCTGGGCTCAAAAGACAAAAGGACAGATGCTTCTTTGTGGAATTAAATATCAAAACAGGAGAGAAGAAAAATTAATCTGGGGTACCTGGTGTTCCCAGGACAAATTAATATATGCTCCCTCCTCTCAGGCAGCCTTGGGCAGAGAAAGATTAGAGAACAAAGGCCAAAAGGCAATCAATGTGATAAAAACTGTAAGTCTAGAAGGAAGTCAGACAAGGAAGACACGGGGATGGCCAGATTCAGTGGTGAGGATGAAATGAGAGAATGATAGCTGATACTCATTGAGTACTTCCTCTGTTGTTAGGCACAGAGCTCAGCATTTTTCATACATTGTCTCAGTTAATCTTCATATTACCATGACCACTTCAGGTACATTACACAGGAGATCACAAAGGTTAGATGCCCTGCCTAAGGTAACACAGGTAATACGTAATGACCTCTGGAATCCTCATTTTTAACCACTCCAGCACATTGCTGAAAATGCCTACACAGGATAACGAAGACCGGGAGCCCAGTGCAGTTCCTGATATTCCAACGATAGTTTTATTGCTGAACTGAGATTCACATGCTTCATGGAGGAGAGAGGAGTCAGGCCAGATCTTCCTGGGTGGTGTGGACTGGGCAACAGACAGAAGGGGGCAGGTGAAGCAGGTTCCATGGGGGAACCATGTGAACAAAGGCGGCCAATGGGCAGGGTGGAGTGTAATGCGAGAGAACGCTGAGAAAATTACACCAGGCCTCGAAAACTCCAGAGCAGGGGCTGGATGCAGGGCAATGGCCACCAGGACTGCTAGAGGATTTTAGGCAAAGGAGAAATCAGACAAAAGCATTGACTTAGACAAACCTCTCCAGAAAATACAAAATTTTTACTTTTCTCAGCCCAAATCTTCAGAACTGACCTGAAACATGATAAGCATATTTTTTTTTAGGGGTGAAATATCCAACAGGAGACTATGATAACCCTTGAAAATAGGATGCAAAGAAATAAGTACCTGTTTTCGTCAAAGGTGTTACTGAGGGAGCCATTGAGTATGACATAGACCACACCACAGGCAGCATCTGCAAACTTAAAAAAACAAATGGCTGCCATTCTTTAGCACAAAAATATAATCCCCATGCCCCAGCAGTTCCATTCAAAACAGTGCTTAGCAATAGTTAGTTAAGGAGGGAATATCCTATATGGTTCCAGCACAGGAATGTCAGATTATATAATTTTCATTCCAAGCCATTGGAGGGATTATGCTTCATGTCACGGTTCTTGAAGCAGTTGATCCAATCTGCAAGTGTTCGAACAATGAAGTTCAGTGTCGTTGTTCACAGGACTGCTAAATTCGGTGGTTTAGAAGTCAGAAGTCCCCTTCATTTAATGGGAACAGAGTGGATGATTCAGGGGTAAAGGAAATGGGAACATCACAAAAGAGGAAACTGAGGAGAAAAAAGGTGACCTTGAGGTATGGAAAGGCACAAAGAGAAAGGGGGATTGACGGAATGAACAAAGGAAAGAACATGCTTGAGCAAGGAGTTTTATTTCTTCATGCAACAAACTTTCAGCAGGAATCTTTGCTAGCCCTGGAGAAAACAAAATGAACAAAATAAAGCAATCTATATGCTCCCTCCAGGAGGCCTACCCAAGCCCTGGGACTAGCTCAGGTCCCTCTCTCTGAACCCGGACAGTATCCCATTCACATTATCAAACTTCATTGCACTGTAACGATGAGCTTAACGTCTGTTTAGCCTTCTGCACTAAGAGCTCCGGGAGAGCCATGAGCCTGGCCGTCCTGCTTGCCTCTGCAGCCCTGGGTGCCTTGTACTGGTACATGGCACGGACAGGTGCCCGGTAAAAATCTGTAGAAGGAAAAGGAGAGAGGGAGGAGGCAGAGCAGAAGCAAGCAGTCTAATACTCTGTGGCAGAGATTGGGAAAGCACAGGAAAAGTGTCATGGAAGGCACGAAAGCCAAGCCCTAAAGGACGGACAGGACTTCACCAGGTAAGGCTGAGGCAGCTGAGAAAGGAAAGGCCTAGGGTTTAAGAGAACAGTGGTGTGCTGGGCGCAAACGTTGGTGGATGGTGAAGTTGGGTAGATAAGGTAGTTCATGGAGGGCCGTGAATCTGGACTGGATTCTGCAGGTGACAGGAACATCGCTAAGGAATTGGAATTGAATCCAGTGCTGCTCATCTTTCCTCTGGGGGTGATGAGCAGAGGGGCAGAGCCCAGTTGTTATTCTTAATCGCAGTGCTAACTCAGCACTGCTTCCGGGGTGCCAAGTATGGTCCCAGCAAGATATAACTCTCCAGAGCCCCCACGAGGTAAGTATTGGGTCAGTTTGCCTTAAAGTCACATGATTTGGAAGCAATGAAGGGAGGTGGAGATTCACACCATCAAGAAACACTGCCTTTATTGTCAGAAAAAGAAAGGGATCAGTCTGGCAAAAGAAGGGCATCTACATACGTTCTTGAGCGACCGGCAAATACAGAGGCGCAGGTAGCTCACAACGGCAGGGCACCTGCAATCTCCTGCACCTCCTAGTGTCAAGGGCTGAGTGGGGAACACAAGTAGGTGCTTGATATATATAAAATGTGACTTGGTTTTAAAAGTTTTTAGCAACAGCACTGCCCTAAACATATCATAATGAAATAAATAGAGACTACTCTCAGAAGCAAACAAAAACTCTCCAGGGCCCATGATTTTTCACTGCACACAGCAGATACTCAACAAATAAATATCTGTTAAATGGATGGATTCTGAGATACACAATGGGATAGTGGTATCTTACTTAAACATCACAGGGGCCTTGTGGAACAGGTACATTTTGATCTCCATTCAACAAATGAGGAATCTGAAGGTCAGAATGATTAGGAAATCCATCCAAATTTAAATTCATCTCCTTATTCAACTCCCAGGCTATTTCCCTGTCTCTGCCACACCAGGGTTTATCTGAATCCCCTTAAGGTGGAGGTTTACTTAGATACCAACAGGGAGTGAAAGAAGATCACACTTGCCATTTAAAATACAGAACCTACAAATAGATTCAAAATACAAATTTGAAGAGCCTGGCTTTGGAACCAGGCGGACCCAGACTGGGCCCTCAGATATGCTACTTTTCAGCCCAGTGACCTTGCATGAGTCACTTAACTTCTGAGTCTTAGTTTCTTCACCTTTAACATGGGGATTTGTCCTTCACACTACCGATTGGGAGTACTAGATGTGAATGACACAAGGAAGACACCTCAGGGCCTGTCACAAATATGCTGCTATGGTTCGAATGCATGTGTCCCAACCTCTCCAAATACATATGTTGGAACCTAAGACCCAATGTGATAGTATTAAGAGATGGAGCCTTTAGGAGATGATTGGGCCATAAGGACTCTGCCCTCATGAATGGGATTAATACCCTTATAAAATGGCTCAAGGAAACAAGCTAGGCCTTTTTTGCCCATCTGCCTTCTGCCATGAAGGACATAAGAAGGCACTCGGAAGCAGAGAGCAGTCCTCATCAAACATCAAATCTTCTGGCACCTTGATCTTGGACTTCCCAATCTCCAGGATTGTGAGACAATAAATTTCTGTTCTTTATAAATTATCCAGTCTCAGATATTTTGTTACAGCAGCACAAATAAACTAAGACATGTGCAAGTTTCCACTTGTCCTAGCTCCTCAGATGTCTAAGTTTAATTTGGGAAAATTATAATTCGTGTATTTTTACTCCCTTCCTCTTGTTCTTTCTTGCATTTCTTCCTCCCTTCCTTTCTCTTTTTTTTTTTCTCCTAGCACACTTGCAAAGAAGTTTTTCATTGCCCACTTGCAAAGAAAAAACTTACAAGAAAAATAAATACAAGGGCAGTTTTGAGTGCAGTCAGAATAGATGGGAGGTGGGGTGGTGAGGATTTCCCAGCCCAGATTCTGGGTCTGGAGTCAGACAACTTGGGCTAAACTCCCAGACCTGTCACTTACTAATTGTGTACATTCAGTACATCACTTCTATGCTTGCATTTCCATTTTGTCAACTGTAAAATGGGCATGGTACTCAAGGTACCTATTTCATAGGGTTCTTGTCAAGGTAAGTTTTTAATTTGTGTGAAGAGCTGTGGACTGTACTTAACACATACTATCTACAGATGAAGATTATTAAGACTGTTGCAGGAGTCTAAGATTGACCAACACTTGGCTCAGAGGATTGAACCACGCCAAAGCCAAAGAATGGGTAAGAGCAGAGATTCTTCAGCGGGAGCCTACAGACCCTTTGTGAATGCTCTAAAATTGTATGTGAAAATCTTCTGGTGTGTCTTCTGAACCTTTTTTTTCAGGAAAGAATCCTATCCTACACTTTCATTCCTAAAAGAGTCTGTGATCCAAAAAGTATTAAAATCAACCACTGACTGGATGACATCTTAAGTTCTTTGGTCTCCAAAGTTCTAGAATTTCACTATTGGTACTTACCCTGTGGGAAGCCATTTTCCAGAATACCGAAACCGGATTGTTGGGGCAGTCTTTCTTCCAGTGTGGGCAAGATCGGTAGTTCATTTCTAAAATACATAGTTTATAGAAAATTATTGCAGTGGAGAAGAGAGAGCATAAATAACCTCCACTCTTCCCTGGCTGTTCCATCACAGTGGAGCCATTTTCTAGTGGCATCACTGCCAAGATGGAGGGTGGAGAACGGACACATTTAGACCCAATTTAACTAAGTGTCCCCTGAATCCCTTCCAAGTCCTTACCTTACCTTCCAAACCCCAGATAGGAACACAGTGATAAGTTTTAAGTCATCATTCTGGGAAGCAGCAGCAAAAGTTCAACCAACAGAGACAAGCCCTCAACATTATCCTCAAATCCAGGAAGAATTAGAGGTAAAACCAGGCCTTCAGGGGTCACTCTTGTCAACCACTTCTTTGCTTCCTGACAGCTCTCTCTTGTTGAGTGTTTCCTTCCCCCACCTCCATAAGTCCCCATACTTTTAGGCTCAGATGGGCTCAGAGTCTTCCTACACTCACCACTATCATAACAGTCTTGGTCTTCAGTGAGGTACAATAGACACAGAGCATGAATGCATGGTTTCTGTGTCATTTCTCCCAAGGATATCTGCCTCAATGCATAAATATTTGTTTGGTCTTGGGGATAGAGAGATAAATTAGATGAGAGTCCTGCCTTTAGAGATGTAATGCAATCAAATAAACCAAAGAAAAATCAACTTGGGTTGGCAGGTTGTGCAGCACCATCAGGGAAAGTTGATGGTTAACTTGGTTTTGAAGGATGAATAGGAGTTCTCAGACAAATGAGATGAAGAAAGGTGCTTCATGCAGAGAGAATATGTGCAAAGGCACAGAGTTGTGGGACAGCCTATTAGGTTTAGATTAGTACTTCCAGAGCTTAAGGGGTGAGGAAGGGAATGATGAAAGAGGAGGTATATGAAAGACAGAGGCCAGGTCATACCAAGGAATTTAGACTTTACCCTAGTGGCAAAAGAGAGCTACTTAAGTTTTAGGGAGGAGATGTATACAATCATATTTTCATTTTAGGAAGAACACTGTGATTGCAAGATGACCCAAAGGGGTAAGAAGTGAGCAGTAAGAATTCTTCAATAGTCCCAGCAAAAAAGGAGAGTATGTTAGCAGGCTGGACTCAGGCAGTGGTAACAGGAGAGAAAGAAAGAATGAACTACTAGGCAAATAGATTAGGTTGGCAACTTACTGGCTATAAGGAGGATAAAAAGAGGGGAGATCACCACAAAAAAAAATGGTAACTATGTAAAGAGATAGATATGCTAATTCGCTTGACTGTAGCAGTCAGTTCACTATGTATATGTATATCAAAACATCACACCATATATCTTAAAGACATACGATTTCAATTCAGAAACTTGCAAAAAAATGATCCAAGGTTCTGTCTAAGAACTATATAATGTAGAATGAAATAGTTAATAAAGGATTAGGGTCCCAGTCCCTGCATGAAGAAAAAAAAGAATGAGGGGTAGTGGGGGAGGGAGGAGGCAGAATCTGGAAATGTCCTACCTCTACTTTACATTATCAAGCAGGTAGGGAAGGTGCATGGAGAGAGGCCCTAGAACCCTTTCTTGTGCCTCAGGAGTCAGAGAGTGTGGCAGCTGCCTGTTTTCTCTCTGTGTATGTGTAGAGCTTACCCTAAGGAAACACTGCTATTTTACTTCCACCTTCTTATGGGTTGAATTCTGTCCTCCCAAAAGATGTATTGCGTCCTAATGCCTGGTACCTGTGAATGGTACCTTATGTGGATATAGGGTCTTTGTAGATGTAATCAAATTAGGATGAGGTCAATAGGGTGGGTGGGCCCTTATCCAAGATAACTACTGTTCTTACAAAAAGGGGAAATTTGGACACAGAGACAGACATGCACAGAGGTAAGATGACATGAAGACACACAGGGAGAAGATGACCAAGTGATAACAGCTTCAAAGGTTGGAGCAATGCATCTACAAGCCCAGGAACACCAGTGATAATTGGCAACAATCAAAAACGCTGGAAGAGGCTAGGAAAGATTTTTCCCTAGAGAGTTCAGAGAAAGCATGGACCAGCAGACACCTTGATTTTGGACTGCTAGCCTCCGTAACTGAGAGAATAAATTTCTATTGTTCTAAGCCACCCGATTTGTGGTATTTGTTATGGCAGCCATAGGAAAAGAATACATACCTCTAGCCCACAGACAGGGCTTGAGTATCAAATACTGCTAATGATGGCAAGGAAAGTTCTAGACCAGACACCTATCCTAGGATGATGAAGTAATTCTGGGAGTTTTATAATAATTAAATGCTTTAAAACCAAAACCACAAAAAATTTAAAAACATTTCCACATATAGATATAAATAATTATCATGGAATCAAAAGGAATCATCTCCCCAATGGAGGCAAAAATGTTGCTAATGATGAAACAGTAAATAAATATACATTTCGTAAGATGCATTACAGTTTATAGGTTTTCATCAACAAAAACCTCTTTTATCATCACAACCACATCTGGAGACAAGTATCTCATGTTGTTACCTTTTCTCTCCCCACTAGGACACTTTCCCCTTGCTGCCTGCCAATATGCAAACATACCATCAAATAAAAATGTAAGGCTAGGGGTAAAAAGAAAAAGAAGGAAATTTGACAAGAGAAATTAAATTAAGAATGTACAGGCCGGGCACGGTGGCTCACGCCTGTAATCCTAGCACTCTGGGAGGCCGAGACAGGCGGATTGTTTGAGCTCAGTAGTTCGAAACCAGCCTGAGCAAGAGCGAGATCCCGTCTCTACCAAAAATAGAAAGAAATTAATTGGACAATTAAAAATATATAGAAAGAATTAGCCCGGCATGGTGGCACATGCCTGTAGTCCCAGCTACTCGGGAGGCTGAGGCAGTAGGATCGCTTGAGCCCAGGAGTCTGAGGTTGCTGTGAGCTAGGCTGACGCCACGGCACTCTAGCCCAGGCAAAAGAGTGAGACTCTGTCTCAAAAAAAAAAAAAAAAAAAGAATGTACAAAAGGCAAAAGAAAAATGATTAGAAGGTTATAATGTAAATTAAGAACTTCATACTAATACAAATAAACAAGTTAAAACTAAGTCAGGTAAAAAAATTTAAGCCAGAATATGAAAAAATTAAGATATAAAAATCATGCCCTTTTGTCCTTCCACCTCCTGCCATGTGAGGGTGCATAAGCAAGGTGCCATTTTGGAAGCAGAGAGTGAGGCTTCACCAGATGCTGAAACTGCAGGTGCCTTGATCTTGGCCTTCTCAGCTTCCATAACTAAATGCTTATAGCCTAGAGAAGTGACATCAGCAAGACTGCAGAATAGGAATTTCCAGACTCTAGTCCCCACCTCCCCCATAGAAATTTCGACTAGCAGCTATCCACAAAGCAGAATGTGTTTTTGAAGGCTTCAATACTTGGAAACAGGCTTGAGATACCATATGGCCCAAAGAACTGAATGAAAACTGAGTTGCAAGGGTAAGAAGAATGGTCTCACTTCGACCATGCCACCCCTTCTCCTTCCCAAGTTGGCACAATGCCAGATGGAGAGGATTTTCCTGGGTCCATGATTTCTACAGGGGAAAAGAGAACCAGAGGCAATCATCCATCTTTCCTAGCAATCCAACATGCTCACCTCATGGGGACACTGGGGATAGCCCCATGACTAGATCACACCAGGTTAGGTGGAAATAAAGAAAGGAGGCAGAAGTTATAGTTATCAGTGCACAGATCTTGGTGGTACCTCTGTATTCCTACCAGCTGTGGTGCCCAATAGGAGATACCAGCCAACTTCACAGCCCGACTGCAAGGCTGAGCTGGTCACTTTCAAAGCCACTTTGGGAATTCAACCTCACTTGAGTCCCTAGATGGCTAGTCTCCATGTCCAGCCTCAGAGCCCAGCCAGGTAGGAAAATGCCTGCCTTCACTCATTTCAGAGCAGCATTAGGGCTAGACCTAATTGACTCAGAAAGTCAAACAGTGGCTCCATTCAGCCAAAAAGCCTACCCATATATCCTTCCTAGGCAGCGAGGCAGGGAGACTTCCATCTCCGTGCATTTTGGAGAAGAATCAAAACATTGACAAAAGAAATTGAAGACAACACAAATAAATGGAAAAATATCCTATGTTCACAGGTTGGAAGAATAAATATTGTTAAAATGCCCATACTACCCAAAGTGATCTATAGATTCAATGCAATCCCTATAAAAATTTCAGTGTCATTTTTCATAGAAATAGGAAAAAAAAATTCTAAACTTTATATGGAACCACTGACTAGCCAAGGCAATTATAAGCAAAAAGAACAAAACTGGAGGCATCACACTATGTAATTCCAAACTATACTACAAAACTATAGTGATTAAAACACCATGGCACTGGCAAAAAAAAAAAAAAAAATAGAGACATTGACCAATAGAACAGAATAGAAAGTCCAGAAATAAACCCATGCATGTACAGTCAATTGATTTTTGACAAAGGTGCCAAGAATACGCACTGAGAAAATGGTGCTGGGAAAATTGGATACATAAAGAAGAATGCAATTGGACCATTATCTAACACCATATAGAAAAATCAGTTAACATGGATTAAAGACTTAAATGTAAGACCAGAAACTGTAAAACTATAAGAAGAAAACATAGCGGGAAACTACAAGACATTGGCCTGAGCGATGATTTTTTTGCATTTGACCTCAAAAGCACAGGCAATCAAAACAAAAATAGACAAATAGGACTCATCAAACTAAAAAGCTTCTGTACAACAAAGGAAACAATTAACAGTGTAAAAGGACAAACTAAGGATTGGAAGAAAATATATGTAAACCACATATCCAATAAGGGGTTAATATCCAAAATATATAAGAAACTCAAACAACTCAGTATCAATAAAACAACAAAATCAATTAAAAAGTGGGCAATAGATATGAATAGATATTTCTCAAAAGAAGACATACAAATGGCCAATAGATATTTGAAAAAATATTCAACCTTGTTAATCATAAGGAAATGCAAATTAAATCCTTAATGAGATATCATCTCGTTCCAATCAGAATGGCTATTATCAAAAAGATGAAAGATAAGCGTTTGTGAGAATGTGGAAAAAGGGACTGTTGTTGGGCATCTAAATTAGTATAGCCATCAGGGAAAATTCTATGGAGACTCCTCAAAACACGAAAAATGAAATTACCATATGATCCAGCTTTCCCACTTCTGGGTATTTACCCAGATGATTTGAAATCAGCTTGCCAAAGAGAGGTCTGCACTCCCATGCTCATTACAGCACTGTTCACAATAGCCAAGATATGCAATCAACCTAAGCGTCCCATCAACAGATGAATGAATTTAAAAACTATGGAATTAAAAAAACACTATTAAAAATACTATTTTATGGTATTATTTAGTATTTTATCATTATAATATTATATAGTATCACTGAGTATTTTATAGAATTAAATACTATTCAGCCTTTAAAAAGAAGGAAATTATGTCTTTTGCGACAACCTGGATGAACCTGGAGGACATTATATTAAGTGAAATAAGATAGGCACAGAAAGACAAATACTGTGTATTCTCACTTATATGTGGAATCTAAAACAATCAAACTCACAGAAGCAGAGAGTAGAATGAGTTGAAGCGCCTGAGGGTTGGGGGGAACCAGAGATGATGGTCAAAGAGTACCCAATCTCAGTTAGATAGGAGGAATAAGGACGGTTTTTTTTAGATTTATTGCACAGTGTGGTGAATATAGTTAATAATAGTGTGCTGTACATTCCAAAATTTCTAAGAGTGAATTTCAAATGTTCTCACTATAAACAATAAGTATTTGAGGTGAGGGATATGTTAATTAGCTTGATTTAATTATTCCACATTGCATTCATAAATCATAACATCACTTTGTACCCCATAAACACATACTATTAAAAATTGTCCATTTACAATGAAAAAGATATAAATAAATATAAATTAGGAACTTGAAAGACAGACTATAAAACAGGGAGAAAGAGGTGAAAATTAATAAAAATTGAGGACAAAGAAGAAGAAAGCAGATAAATAAAATTACATATATAGGATTCAATTTAAAAGAAAGCAAAAATAAAGAACTCTGAAATGTAAATAGATTTTTTAAAATAGATTATTCATTTTCTCTATCTCCACTTCATTCCAAGAAAAAATTGAAGTGGTGAGTTGAAAAATAAAACCAAAGGAGAAGAGTTTATTGTAAAAAAATTTAAAAGCTAAAAATGTTAAATGACTGACCAAGAAAAAAGTTATATTGTTAAAAGGGAAATTTAAAAAGGAAAACAATTTAAAAAGGAACATAACAAAAACTATAACACTTAACCAAAAATAAAAATATGGAGAAACATTTATATATCTTATTCTGGGAGGGAAGACTCACAATTACATATAAATTTAAATATTATAAAAGTAAAATTAGTGTATAAAAATATAGAAGAATGCTTCCCTAATCTTAGGGTAAGGAAAATCTTTTTAAGCAAGATACCAAACCCAGGAGCCATAGGAAAAGGACTGATAGGTCTTCTGCATTTCTGTGTGGCAAAAGGCAGACTATAAACAGTATAAAAAGAAAAATCCAAACTAAAAAAAAATAGATGTGCCACCTTCAGCCAGAAAACAGACAGAACAACATAGCAGTTAAGAGCACAATTTCTCGAGTCAGTCTTTCTGGGTTTGTTCTCAGCTCTGCCACTTACCAGGTGGCAAGTTACTTAACTCTGGGCCTCAGACTTCTCATCTGTAAAACGGGACCACCATAGGGCCTCATGGGGCTGTGTAAAATGACATGAGTGAATACTCATGAAGCATGTAGATCATAGGCATTCTAAGTGTCCAATATTATTAATTTATAAAGAATTTCTATTAATAAGAAAATAATAGATACCCCAACAAAGATGGTTAAAATATATGAACTGTTTATAGAAGAAATAGAAATATCTACCATTAATATATATACATATGCTCAAACGCACCATCAAAGAAATTAAAAATAAATTGAAGTATTTTTTTCTTTATCAAATGGGTCCAAAAATTTTAGAGTATTAATATCTAGTGTTGGTAAGGATATAAATTGTCACCACCTTTTAAATGACATTTTCAGTTCATATAACAATTTATCCTTTAACATTGAAATTCCGTTTATAGAAATTTACCTTTCAGTAGTACTTCAAGCATGCAGATGTGTGTGTGTGTGCGTGCATGTGTGTGTATATAAAGTGTTTCTTGCAACAGTGGTTATGATAGCAACAAAAACTGAAAACAACCTAAATTTCCATTAATAGCATTGGTTAATGATAAATCCTTTTAAAAGAATATGAGTATCTTTATACCTATTAATTTTAAGTGAATAAAGCAAGTTGCAGAACTGTATGCATACATTTTAATATATATGTTTATATAGGCATAGGGAAAAGGTCTGGAAGGACATGTCCCAAATTGTTGACAACAGTTACCCTTTGAGAAGTGATGAGGAGGTTGTGGGTAGAAGAAGGATGCAGGGTGACCTTCACTTTTGACTTTTATGCATTTCTATAACATGCAAATATTTTTTCAAATAAGCATGCTTCCTTTTTGTAACTGAAATAATGCAAACCTGGGATGAAGAAGCTATGATAAGACAAGCTTTTTAAAACAAACAGTCAAAAGCAATAAAAATAAGGATAAAACAATATGAAGTAAAAATATCCACCACATAAATAAAAAGGGAAAGAAAAAAAGAAGTGAAAACTGGCTCCATAGGGTTTTGTGAGTAGGAAATACCTTCCCACAGTGAGGTGTTCTGAGTCTTTCTGGACAGGAAAAGGTTACATCTGAGAAATGAAGGCAAAGCCACTGAGTGGCCTGAGATGGAGAAGCACAACCCACGGCTACTGTGGTGGTTCTGTGGGACAAAGACTTTGGCCTAGGTCCTTCTGAGACCTCTTCCTGCCCTAGAATTCTTTGTTCCTGAATGATGCCCTTTACAGAAAGCAAAACACTGAGAATTCAGAAGCAAGCTACACGAGCACTCAGAAAGGAGGACTCAGGGAGCATGGGCAATCCCAAACTCTGAAGTCAATTTTTCAAGAAAACAGGGATTGGTGTAGGGAATGCTGTAGTACTTTACATCAGCCTGATTTGTCATTAAGTACATAGATGACATCAGGGTGGGTGTCTGTGGCTCCTTCCTCCACACTAATCTTTCAGAGCCCCCAGCAGAGCCCACCTGTTCACCCTGCACATCCCTGGACAATCCCTCGGGGCCCGGGCCCTCACCAGAAGTGCCAGAGTCTCCACACCACATGAGGCCATCAGCCATGTAGCCCAGCAGTGTGTCCTCCAGGGTGAACATATCCCGGTGGACCCGCGTGTACTGATGGGCCATCTCTTTTGTTTTGCTCCAAAGGATAGTCTAGGAAAGAATAAACACAACCTATTATTGAGATCAATTTAGTGGGTCGAAAAAAATAAATCCACGTTTTTGTAAATGAAAGACACAGAATTGCTTTGTGTGTGAGAGAGAATCGGGGCAGGAGGGGAGAAAGAGATTGAAGAGAAGGAGGAAGGGCAGGTGACAGGAGATGAGAGAAAGGACAGAGAGAGAGAAAGAGAGAGTATGCGTTCTGGGTCACAATGCAAAAGGAATTTATTATTCTGGGTTGCAGTCAGAAAAGTCTGAAAGCCACTGATCAAAACCTTACAACTAACATAGGATCAACCCACATCTGGAGGAGGCATCAGGGAGTTCCAATATTCCTAAAGTTACCTGCAAAAAAAATTTGTCTAGGTGCTATTTTCTGGATGAAATGCTTTTTGATTCTTAAAGAGCTACATAACCTTTTCCACTTTCCCTAAATCTTCCCTACCTCTACCAAAAAAACACATAGCCAGTGGGTGTGTTTTCAGGGTCCCTCATAAAGGTCAAATTTCAGAATGATATTCTGTTCCATGAATCTATTCATTCTTAACGGCAGACAGTGGGGGGGTCGTGGGTTAAAGCAGGGGCCCTGGAGTCTCTCTTCTTGCTGGAGCCCAGCATCATCACTACTAGCTGTTTGACCTTCCTGACCTTGGGCAACCAAAGCATCACTAAGCCTCACTTTCCACACATGTAAGATGGTAATGATAATGACTATAACACACTCATGGGATGCTGGGGAGATTAAACGAGGTAACACAGGTAAATTTCTTAGCATAGCGTCTGTCGCATAGTCACTTATTCAACAATTGTCAGCCTGGGTCATTATTTGCTAAGCATCTCCTCCACGTAGGGCATCATTCCTGGTACACCAAAGAGAAGACGTACAATAACGCCAGCTCACTACCAATGGGATGATGGGCTGTAATTTGTGGGTAGATTTAAGAGCTTCACAAAGACAATTTTGTGACTTGAAACACTGAATTTTTGCCTTAAACATTGACTTTAGGAAAGACTACAACTACACTCTATGATAGACCTTTTCCAATATAATCAATGTATTAAAACCCAGGCCTCTCTGGCTCCAAGTTTTGTGCCATTTAGATTTCAACTGTCACTTTCAAGGCTGTCAAACTTGGGAAATCACTGCTCACCTAAACTCACCAAGCCTCAGTTATCTCACTGGTAAAATGGGGATACTGACACCCGACCTGTCCGTTCCACAAAATGGCTGTGAAAGACTAGGAAGAAAAGGATTAGGAGTCCTTTATAAGCAAAAAAAGCACTATGCACATGTAAATTGACATTATTATTATTATTATTATTATTACTATTATCAGAGGTCAGGGGAAAGTTTTGGAATTATATGAAGTTTTGTTTTTTTTGTTTGTTTGAGTTGGGTTTGGTGTTAGGTTTGTTTTGCCTGATTTTTGGCCAATTCTCCTTTCCTCTTTCCATGTCCCCATTTCTCTCTTACCACTCTTCCCCAAATGTCCTAAATCCTAATGATATCATGGTCCCCCCATAGCCCCACACCAACGACACCCACTTTATAATGTCTGGATTTTTCCTCTTCCCTCCTTCTATTCAAATTTGATCCTGTGACCTCTTCCCTCTAGCTTTTATCCCCAGTTTTAAAACTAATAACTTGTCCAAATTACCTTGCTGCAAGGTATAGTCTGAGTTGTCAATTTCATTAGTGGCCGATAGTCTTCCTCTGTAATGTTACAAGGATTCTTTGAAATAAATGCGTCTTTGAATGCTTCCTGTATCTTTTGGCAGTCTACATTTCTGTGAGATAAAACATGAAAAATCAAACAAAACATGAATAATTTGATCTTTAAAATATTTTTGGAGCATAAATTTCATTTAGGAATCATCTAGTCAGTGCCAGGTAGTCCATACATATCATCTCATCTAACCTGTACAACATTTTTATGAGATGGCCATTACCCTCTTTGTTTCACAAATGAAATAGAAGCTTGGAGGGTTTGAAATGACCTTTCCTAGTTCACACAGATGGCAAAGTAGTAGATCCAAGATTCAGATCTGTGTCCTTCTGATGCCAGGGCAAAATAGTCTGGTCATTAATGCTCACTTGCTTAAGTGTTAAACAAAATTGAGAAGAACATATAAAGGCAACTAGTCTTCTCTTTCTCATATTACACACTGTTAAAACAAAAAAAATTAAGGATTCCAACTGCCTTCAGAAAGTCCAAATTCCTCAATGGACGCTTCTTGAATTTTCCCATTTCTTAGCTGGCACGGTGGCCACGGCCTGGGATGCTTTCCTCCCCGTATCTGCCTATAGAAATCTTATCCACATTTTATGCCCATGCCCTGGAGTGAGTAGAGCTGGGGAAGTTAATTCTGCTCTTCCCCGTGATTGGGAGGTCTCCTGACCCATGTGTGTATGAGCTTCTCCAGCAATGAGTGATGAATGAAAGTGAGGCTACAATTTAAGAACAGATTTAGGGCTTCTTAAATCATAACCCAGATAAAAAGCTTCCACAGGGAAACCTCTCTTCGTTTAAGGAAGAGCAAATCTGCTCCCTTACATCTGCCTGAATGCATCCTGCCTCAAAGGAAAGTTAGCTGGAAACAGGCCTGTTTGCCTAGAATGTCAGTGCCCTGAGGCCAGAAACTGTATCTGGTTCATCCACCTGTCCCTCTAATACTAGATTCAAAATAATGCTTATAGATTGAGTGGAAGAGTGAAAGTGAGTTATATAAGATTCAAAATGTAAGTACGATTAAAGGAGAAAGATATCACTTCTAGAATGAAGAAGTAAGGAACTCCAAAATTCTACTTCTCCATAAAAGCAATGGGAACACCGGCAAGAATTATCAATACCAACTTTACAGAACCCTGGAAATTAACTGAAGCTTAAAACAATTCGAAAAGTGTTATTCCAAAAAAAAGGTTAAATCTTGGTTAGAACAGTCAGCCTTGTGGCATTTTTTTAACTTGCATTAATTCCATTTCCCTCTCCCAGCTCCATGGAAGCCTTAAAATCCAACAGCTCCACAACGATGACAGCTGTGAAAACCATCAGCCTTCCAGCCACCAGAGAGTGTGGAGTGGGTTTGGATCTCTCCAAATATGTCCTGATCCCCCAGAGAATTGTGTATTTGACCTGTCTGGAAGCTTGTTGAAAAGCTCACCTCTCAGAACTTGTCTTTATTTGACATGACTCATAGTTCACTCTATGTGAACAACCCAACCCACAAAGCATTTGTGAAAACAATCAGTGACAATTACATAACACTGCAGGTGCATGAGGTTTTTTTTTTTAACCTGTTGGAGCTAACAAGAGACAAAAAACTTAAAAGGAAACACTAGGGAATCAAATATCTCTAGAAAATAAAAGGAAAGTACAGGAATGATGTCTTACCAAATAAGAACATCGATTAATAGATAGAAGTTGTTTTTTAAAAAATTAAATAGAAATTCTGTAGTTAAGTAAAATAGCTGAAATGAAAATTTCACTGGAGGGGCTCAATAACAGATTTGAACTGTGGAAGAAAAAATTAGTGAACTTGGAATCAAGTATACCTCTCCTATACCAGCAAGTTATAGGAGAGGAGAGAAAGAGGGAGAGGCAGAAAAAAATTTTTTAGAGAAAATAATGCCTCAAAACTTCTCAAATTTGATGAATATTAACCTATCACTTCAAGAATCTCAACGAACTCCAAGTAGGATAAATCAAAGGCCCACACCTAAATATACTGTAGTCAAATTATTAAAAGAGAAACAGAGAATCTTGAAAGCAGCAAAAGAGAAGTGACTCATTAACTGGACGAAAAAAGTCAATAAGGAAATAGAAGACTTAAACCATGGTAAATCCAATTAGACCTAATAGACATATAGAGCACTTCACCCAACAACAGCAGAATAACACATTGTTCTCAAATGCACATGGAATATTCCCTACAACAGACCATACATAGGCCATAAAACAAGTCTTAATAAATTTAAAGAATTTGAAATTTAAAAAAAGAAATAAAATAGGCAAATTATTATTCATAATAAAAAAGGTTAAAATCATGTGTAGTATCTTTTCTGATCACAATGGAATAAAACTACAAATCAATAACAGAGGGAAAACTGAAAATTCTCCAATAGTTGAAGATTAACAGTACACTTTTAAATAAACAATGGATTCAAGAAGAAATCACATGGGAAATTTAAACAAATGCAATCAAAACACACGTATCGAAACTTCTGGAATACAGCAAAAATAGTGCTAAGAGAGAAATTTATAGGTATATTGAAAGAAAAAAAAATCTCAAATCAATAACCTAACTCTACACCTTGGGGAATTAGAAAAATAAGAGCAAAGTAAACCCAAGGCAGGCAGAAGAAAGTAAATAATAAAGACTATAGTAGAAATAAATAAAATACAGAATAGAAAAATAATAGAGAAAATCGACACCACCAAAAGTTTGTTCTTTGAAAAGATCAACAAAATTGACATATCTTTAGCTAGAAAAAAAGAAGACTTAAAGTAATAAAATCAAGAATTAAATAGGGAACATCACTGCCTTCCTTATAGGAAAAAAAATTACTAGGGGATACTATGAACGATTATACATAAACAAATTCTATAACCTAGATAAAAACGCACAGATTCCCAGAAAGACATAAACTACTAAAACTGATTCAAGACCAAATAGAAAATCTGAATAGACCTATAACAAGAAAAGAGAGTAAAATAGTAATCAAAATATTGCCATAAAAGAAAGTCCAGGCCTAGATGACTTCACTGGTGAATTCTACTAAACATATAAAGAATCATTAACATCAATCCTTCATAAACTCTTCCAAAATATAGAATAGGAGGGAACACATTCCAACCCATTCCATGAGTTCAGTACTACCCTGAAACCAAACCCAGATAAAGACACCACAAGAAAGAAAACTAAAGATCAATATCCCTTATGAATATAGACACAAAAATCCTCATAAAAATACTAGCAAGCAGAATTCAGCAACAAATAATTAGCTTGATTTAATTATTCCACATTGTATTCATTGATCATAACATCACTCTGTACCCCATAAATATATACAACTATAATTTGTCAATTTATAATATAAAAATTAAAAAAAATTAGTAACAAATAAAAGCAATTACATACCATGATCAAGTGGGATCTATTCCAGGAATGCAGGTTGGTTTAACATATGCTTATCAATCAATGTAATGCACTATATTAATAGAATAAAGGACAAAACAAACCATACAATCATCTCAACAGACACAGAAAAATCATATGACAAAATCCAATACTCTTTCATAATAAAAAAAAAAACACTGAAAAAATTATGAATAGAAGGGAATTTTCTAAACCTGATAAAGGTCATTTATTAAAAACCTGGTGAAATTAATGGTGAAAGATTAAGATCAAATACAATACAAGGATGTCTGCATTCACCATTTCTATTCTACATTGTACTGCAGATCTAGCCAGGGAAATTAGGCAAGGAAGAGAAATAAAAGGCATCCAGATTAGAAAGTAAGAAGTAAACTTGTCTCTTTCACAGATGACACAATACTATATAGAGAAAATTCTAAGAAATTTACAAAAAGGAAACTATTAGAACTAATAAACATGATCAGCAAGGTTTCAGGATACAAGATCAATATATGAAAAACAATTGTATTTCTATATACTAGCAATGAAAATTATGAAATTGAATTTTTTTTAAAATTCCATTTATAATAGCAGCAAAAAAATTAGTATACTTGGGAATAAATACAACCAAAGAATTTCAAGGTTAGTATACTGAAAACTACAAAACATTGTTAAAAATTAAAGAAGATCTGAATAAATGAAAAGCATTCTGTATTCATGAATCAGAAGACCTAATATTATTAAGATGTCAGTATTTCCCAAACTGATTTATAGCTTCAATGCAATCTCTACAAAAACCTCAACTCCTTCTTTTGCAGAAATTGACAGTTTATCCTAAAATTCATATGGAAATGCAAAGTGACACAGAAGAGCCAAAAAAAATCTTGAAAAAGAACAAAGTTGAAAGATGTACACTTTCTGATTTCAAAACTTACTACAATGCTACAGTAATTAAGACAATTTGGTACTGGCATAATGATAGAAATATAGACCAATGGAATAGAATTAAGAGTCCAAAAATAGGCCGGTAGCGGTGGCTCACGCCTGTAATCCTAGCACTCTGGGAAGCCGAGGCGGGTGGATTGTTTGAGCTCAGGAGTTCGAAACCAGCCTGAGCAAGAGCGAGACCCCGTCTCTACCAAAAATAGAAAGAAATTAATCGGACAACTAAAAATATATAGAAAAAAAAATTAGCCGGGCATGGTGGCGCATATAGCAGCACAGCAAGAGACCCAGAAGAAATGGAGTTTGAGGTTGCTGTGAGCTAGGCTGACATCACAGCACTCTAGCCCAGGCAACACAGTGAGACTCTGTCTCAAAAAAAAAAAAAAAAGAGTCCAAAAATAAAGTCTTACATTTATCATCTATTGATCTTAGACAAGAGTGTCAAGACCATTCGATGAAGAAAAAATTGGTCCTTTCAACAAAAGGTGCAAGAAAAACTGGATATCTATATGCAAAAAAATGTTTTTGGACCCATACTTCACACCATATACAAAAATCAACTAAAATGAATAAAAGACTTAAATGTAAGAGGTAAAATTATACAACTCTTAGATTCAAACATAGAAGAAAAAATCATAATAACCTTAGCTTAGGCAATGATTTCTTAAATACGACATCAAAAGCACAGCAACAAAAGAAAAATTAGA